CTATAGTGGTGGCCAGAGGTACTGCAGGCTGTGAATACTATATCACAGCAGGGTTGTCCTACCGAAATCAAGTTCTGCCTTCATTTCCTACTACACCAAACAAGGTCCGTGCCTGGGGTAGCTAGGCTTGTGTCCTTGACACCTGGTGGTAGCCATGGGCTATTAGAGTGTGCATGCTATTGTACTGCTGTTACCTGTGTTCTGACCGGGGAACATGGGGGGGGGTTCTAGCAACAATCTACTGATTGCCAAGGACACATAATGGAGGACAAACACCTTGGGTAGCTGGGCTTGTGTCCTTGACACCTCGGTGGTAGCCATGGGATATTAGAGTGTGAATGCTGTTGTACTGCTGTTAACTGTGTTCTGACCGGGGAACATGGGGGGGTTCTAGCAACAATCTACTGATTGCCAAGGAAACATAATGGAGGACAACACCTTGGGTGTCAGCTGGCCTCCCTCTTACCCAAATATTGGCACCCCCATTATGACACTCTCATAATAAGGATTCTTCCATTTCTCTTGGATAATCTCATCAAATCTCAGAGAACTATACCAGGTCACAAAGGGAACCCCTACATTCCTTCTAACACTCTGTCCTTTATTCCTGATTTGTGTCTATAGTTTGCGGAGTGAGGTTCAATCATTCTGATGGAAATCCTCTCCATTGGAAGGTGTTTTTCATCACATCCAATCTCTCCTGTTTTCTCCTGAGATCTGTGACCAGACCATCTACAAGAAGATGAAGAGTCCCACACTGGAATCACAGCCCATTCTTCATATTTGATTCTGCATTTCACCCCATTAGGATTGCTCACAAGGATAGAGTAGCCCAAACACAACTCAATGTGCTATACAGACGAGGAAAACGAGGGCGACCAGCCTAGTACAATACTAAAATCACAGCTTTATTGTATCCAAGGAAATATATACTCACAGACCACTGCCATAGCCGGATCATCTCCACATCACCAGAGGACCCTCAAATGGCTGACCTGTTTGGAGAGCGGTCTCCTCTTCCTCAGACTACTCTATGTGTAGAAGCCCATTATGGTGGAACGTGTTCAGGGAGTGAGGTTCGGGAGGAGACTATATGTATGCAGTTACTTCATCATCAACAATAAAATATGAAGAATGAGCTGATTGCAGAGTGTGAGAGGAGAGGAGATGGGCTACAGGTGCTGTCATCTGATTGGTCCGTGGTCATTAGGAGCTGCAGGTTGGAGCAGTGCCATGGATTTGGGTTCTTACTATACAGTCTACACTCTTCATCTGTGATCTAGGAATCCCTCATACAATGTCTTCAGATGGAAACTTTGATATCTACAAATGGAGTATATCTGCAATATTCTCACAACTAAATCCCTCTTCACGATATCATCGTCTTGTATTTATCTTCACATAGATATATATTTCTGTATCACTACAGTGTGAACTAAGCTTTGTAGATGAGGATCTGTCATGTCACCTCCAGCTCCAGCCATGGCCCCAGGCAGACAATAATGTCAATAGTTTGTTATACTGTGTGAGATGGAAGCCTCGGGACATTGCTGCTGAGTAATGGAGGATTTTATAGGCTGATTGCCATCATGTGGATTAGATTGGATAAACCCAGGTCTGTAACTTCCCCACAAAGGATATATAAAGGGCAAATATGACAAGAGAACAGTCAGAATGCTGAAACACATAGACCAAGGCCGGGGTCACACTACCAGACGATTCTCGGGGCTGCAGTTCCTCTGAGCTCCACAAGGTGGGGATATCACTTCTACCCAGACAGGAAGTCTCTATGGAAGACAGGAAGTGATGTCAGGTACAGACAGAAAGTGATGTCAGGTACAGACAGGAAATAGAGCGGAGACATTGGTGGAAGTGGCAGCAGAGGAGGGTAATAAGATTTTATTTCCTATTTACACCAGTAAACCCCCCCCCCCGTCATGTCCGTCCTCTTCCTCCATAGTCACTGTGACGCTAGCAGATGATGATACACACATATATAGTGTGGGAACCCAGATTAACCCCTTTAGGGGCAGAACATTTTTTTGACTATGGGGGGGGACTCCTCCGCTCTCAGAATACACAGATCAGCACTGAAGCTATTGGCTGCAGCCGCTGGGGGAGTGGCTTTTATCCGGCAGTGGCCACACATGGATGGAAATGTGAGCGATCCCTGCTGAACCAGCTGAATTTCCATGGATCTGTTGGTCACCTTCAGTGACTTCCTCCCCTCCCCCTCATCTCCTTCATGATGGAAGTCATGCTGAGATCATCTCCCATTGGCTGAGCAATATTCTCGTTTGTCTCTCAGCTCCTTCTTGCTATTCCTCGTCCTGCCTGTTGTTTCCTTGGATTGATTTTCTGTGTAGTGACCCCGGCTTGGTCTCTTGGATGCGCTCGTCTGTTGCTTGCCCTGACCTTTCTCCTGATTCCTGGATCTCCTCTCCTCATCTCTCCTCCATATCCTCTTACACAGCTTTTCTCCACACCTGCAGTGACCCTGAGGGGAGGAAACTTGGCACCAGAACGTATGGAGAAGTCTGGAGATCATATGACATCACATTGCCTCCACCTCCCTCCCTGATAGAAGAGAGAAAGAAGAAGAAGATTCTAGAAGTCACCAGAGAGATCACTGAGCTGCTGACAGGAGAGGGTGAGCGGTGCCGGGAATTCTGGGACATTCTCCAGTAACAGACAAGGGATGTGTCTGGATGGTGACTGTATCATTGTGTGTGTCAGGTTCCTATAAGGTGTCAGGGTGTCACTGTCTATTTCTCCATGGAGGAGTGGGAGTATTTAGAAGGACACAAGGATCTCTACAAGGACGTCATGATGGACAATCAGCCGCCCTCACATCACCGGGTAAGAGGAGACTTTATTGTAAAGGAGAGAGCAGTACGGAGGATCCACCTAGATCCCCCATCATCTGATAAACACATAGAAACAATGGATTCAGTCAGTGTGTGTGTTTCCTACAGATGGATCCAGTCATGGGAACCCACCAGAGAGATGTCCCCATCCTCTGTATTCCCGGGATTCCACACAGGAAGGTCACACCATCCCTCACCATCATCAGGTAGATGAGGAACAATCACTGATAGTATCATTAGGATCTGTACATTATCTGTATTGTTACCATTGATGTCATTTTTATTATATATTCAGAGTGGAAACCTTGAGAGATTTACAGTTGAGGTTAAAGAAGAGATAAAAGAGGAGGAGGATGAGGATGGGGGGGTGGAGGAGTCAGAGCTTCTAAAGGAACACAAAGATCTGTACCAGGACACCATGGTGGAGTCATCCAGCTACAGGAACCCACCAGAGAGATGTCCCCGTCCTCTGTATTCCCGGGATTCCACACAGGAAGGTCACACCATCCCTCACCATCATCAGGTAGATGATGACAATTATTGGTAGTTGTGATTTATACACAGCATGTTTGTTACAATGAATGTTTTATTATATCTTTCAGAGTGGAATCCTCGGGATGATAATATTGATGTTAAAGAAGAGTATAAAGAGGAGGATGAGGAGTATGGAGTGATGGAGGAGTTTTCAGAAGGACACAAGGATATGATGGAGCCACCTAATACCAGGAACCCACCAGAGAGATGTCCCCATCCTCTGTATTCCCGGGATTCCACACAGGAAGGTCACACCATCCCTCACCATTACAAGGTTGGTGGGGCGGGGAGCATGGACGTGGGGCAATATATGGATTTTTTATGTGACCTTATATTTTTACAGATGACCTCTTCTATCATTTTCTTGGTTTAGGGTGAAGATCTGATAGACATCAAAGTTGAGGTGAAAGCAGAAGAAGAAGAGGCGTATGTGAGGGATGATCAGCAGTCTATGGAGGAGGATGGAATAACGGGGACATTTATAGAGGAGGACACTCCTACAGAGATCAGCACAGGTGGGTCATGAACACTAAATCCATTCCTCCACCCATACTTGTCATGCTTCCCTTCACATTGATCCAGCACCGGGTTTTGCCTCCTGTCCGTGTTGCTCGGGTTCCTGCCTATCCCCCCCTGAACCTAGGTATTATCAAGTCTTTGTACCTGTGTGTTAGTGTTCCAGCAACGTGTCTTCATGTTGAAGCCGGACCCCTCTGGTTCCTGTGGTGTTCACTGCCGCTTGAGTATTCCCATATTCTGTGTGCTGTTTGATCCTGTCTTTGTTCTCAGTGTTTTCCCTCTGGCTGTGCAGTTATATTCCCTTTGGTTTCTGTCCGTGGATCCCCTCATTTCCTGTTGCTGTGTGTGTCCTTCTCAGCATTGTTTCCTGTTGTTTGCCTGCAGCCCTTTCCATCTTGCTGAGTCTCTCTGTCTGCACCATTGCTCAGTATCCCTCCCTCTCCTGCACTTTACACGTGTTCCCTGCATCCTCTCCCCCGGAGCCCCTTCCTAGGTTGCTGCAGTAGGTGACCTTGGTTCCTAGTATCCTGTGTGTACCGCGTGTCCTTCCAGCATGCTATTCGGTTGCACTGTGCCTGCACGGGTGTGTTAGAGAGCCGCAACCTGGGGGCTGCCATGCAGCACAACATCCACCCCTCCAGTGGCTCTGGTGAAGACCGGATGGCCCCCTTAGATCCTGCGACTCTTGTGTGCGGTCACACTGCTCCTGTATCTGCAAGGGTGGAATTGTAAGCTCTTCAGAGACCAAGCTGCCTGATGTGGGCGGAGCCCTGGTTTGGGGGAACCAATCAGCTCCTGTCTAGTAATCCTCTTTGTGTTTGTATTTTAGTCCATGGCCGGGAGATGAGGAAAACCCTCCGAGGATTGTCTCACTTTGTCTCCAGACTGGAAAGTAGAAGATGAGGAGACATCACACAGTATAGTCCAGGAGAAAACCCGGCTCCCTCCAATGTCCATCCGGCACCACCCAGTGTAGATGGACCATCAGATTCCTCGTATCCTGAGGTTCTCCTGTCCTGAGTGCGGGAAATGTTTTTCAGATAAGTCTAATCTTTACAGACATAAGAAATTACACACGGGGGACAAGCCACATCCTGTTCTGAGTGCGGGAAATGTTTTTCACAGAAGTTCCATCTTTACAGACATCAGAGATCTCACACAGGAGAAAAACCATATTCCTGTCCTGAGTGTGGGAAATGTTTTTCAGTGAAATCCAGTCTTTCCAAACATCAGAGATCTCACATGGTGGAGAAACCATATACCTGCCCTGAGTGTGGGAAATGTTTTATAAAGAACTCCCATCTTTCCAAACATCAGAGGTCTCACATGGGCAAGAATTCCTGTCCTGAGTGTGTGGGAAATGTTTTGTACAAAAATCAGAACTTGTCACACATCAGAAGTTTCACATGGAAGAGAAGCCGTATTCCTGTTCTGAGTGCGGGAAGTGTTTCAGGGTTCATTCCAAACTTAAGGTGCATAAAAGATCTCACACAGGTGAGAAGCCGTATTCTTGTCCTGAGTGTGGGAAATGTTTTTCACAGAAATCTAGTCTTAAAATACATCAGAGATCCCACACAGGGGAGAAGCCATTTTCTTGTTCTGAGTGTGGGAAATGTTTTTCAGATAAATCCAGTCTTAAAAAATCATCAGAGATTGCACACAGGTGAAATGCTGTACTCTTGTCCTAGGTGTGGAAAAGGTTTTGTACGAAAATCAGAACTTGTCACACATCAGATGTATCACACGGGGCAAAAGCCATACTCCTGTTCCAAGTGCGGGAAATGTTTTGTACGAAAAACAGTACTCGTCAAACATCAAAGGTCTCACATGTAAAAACTGTATTCCTGTTCTGAGTGTGAGAAATGTGTCTTAGAAAAATCCGAACTTGAAACACATCAGAGATCTTACACGGGGGAGAAGTCATATTCCTGTCCTAAGTGCGGGAAATGTTCCTCAATGAAGTCCTGTCTTCCTGTACATCAGGGATCCCACACAACCCTGGAGGTGTATTTGTGCCTTGAGTGCGGGAAATGTCTTCTAGATGAATGTTGCTGGACATCCCAGCTCTCATGTGGGGAAGAAGCACACCCTGATATACACCTCAGATATACTCCATGGCTGATCTTCATCATGGAAGAAACAGTTCATAAGGAGATCAGAGGTCCCCAAAGACATGGATGAAGTGTGGGACCGGGTTGGCCATTGATGGCAGGAGAAGAATAAAAATGGAGTGCTGCCCTGTGATTGGCTGAGTACATTTTGTGGTGGGAGATTTCACAAACATTTGGAGGTCTGTATAAAAACAAATAGTTCTACCTCCTGTATACCGGACACTTCCACCCCCTTCCTGCCCAGGCTGACTGGTAACTATCAGCACTCTCACACTTTGAATGACAATTACACAGTCATGCAACATTGTACCCAAATTATATTTTTGTCATTGTTTTCACACAAATAGATATTTATTTTGGTGGTATTAAACACCACTTTTTACCATTTTACTTGTTTCTTGTTTTTACAAATAAATCGTCTTTCCTTATGTAGCAGGCTCCTTGTACAAGAGGATTCAGAAGGAATCACATGTTCAGCAGTCAGTCCTTCCTCTCTCTCCCCTATTTGTAAAACCTGGGCATTCTGCCAAGTTGATGACTCATCCACTACACAGCAAAGAACGCTGGGAGGGGGAGGAAGAAGGAAGTGAAGGGAAGAGGGGAGAGACACAAGGCTGGAGAAAAGACAGGGACACGTGGAACCCGTCCAAGCAGAGGAGGAGGCACTACAGCACTCAGCGCGGATAGAGGGACCCTGCTGTGTGTTCAGAGTCTGGTGAGCTGTCCCCCTGGAGAGAGTAAGGCACACCATTTACACTTTGCATATAGACTGGGACATCCACACCCCACTGCTGGGATCTCACCCATCCGGGGCCCTGTGCAAGCCACAGATCCCCCTGCCTGCTTTGCCCCTCACCACCAGTGTAATTGAGACTGTCTGCCCCGGGGACTGACACATACTGGGAGATTGCATCCTGCACCTGCCCCTGGTCTTGGGGTGCTTTGTGTTGCATTTAGACACTGAGGTTGGACCCTCTCAGCCCAGAAACCTAGTAAAATCGGATGTAACCCACACCAGCTGAAACTCCAAAGAAGCCTTCAGCTGCTATTTAATTCATTGTAAGGACTAAACGTGCACCAACTAGAGCTCCACCGTTACAAGGACTGAAGTGGGGGAATCTGGCTTAGTAGCCTTATTAGAGGTACCTCTTTATTGCATTCTGTTCTGACTCTGAGGTGATTTTTGGCTAACGCCCCTCAGAAGCAGAATCATACCCCGGTGTGGGTAATACATTTCATTGATAGAGTATAAGTAAGTTTATTTGTTTGATATCAGTTGTATTCGGCTTAAAGTGCGACTCTGCCATCCGGAGACTCTTGGCTGTGAAGCCCTCTAGTGGCAGACCAAATTTACTGCATTGCATAAAAGAAGAAAAGTAAGTTTTTAGAAGTTGAAAGGGGAACCCCACCCCTCTGCACTGCATTTCATTCTCCATAAAATTGTTCTTGTTTCATTTAACCCTGTGTCAGCAAATTTCTTGGCGGGGTATTTGCTATTCATTACCAGTTGTGCCAGAGGGATTGGGTTTGCTTAGGGTTGGATCTATTGAGCGCAGGACCCATAATATATTCCAGCTTGTCCCAAGGGGCAGTGCTACACTTATAAATGTAGACAAAGGTGTATTCTGCGCCATTTCTTGGGTACAATAACCCCAATCAGTGTCTATGATTCAGTGTGTAGGAGAGTTATAGAGTCTACAAACTATGGGATAGATGTCTGAAAATCCATCATGTCTGATGACGGCAGATCTCATTTCTGAGGATCAAAAACACCAGAACGGTACAAATTGTCAGAACTTTATCTGTGAGGAAATAATCCGTATACAATTCATGGAAACAGGCGGGATCTGGAATGAAGGAGATTCCCTACTAATTCTCACAAAGTAACCGACATCCCAGTTCTGTATTTGTGATAATTGGAAGATGAAATAAAAAAACAATAATGTGCAAAAATATATATTTATTAATAATATAAATCAGTACAAAATGGGGATGAAATATAATAGGTGATGATAAATAATAAACAATAAAAGATAACAGTACAATGATCTAATCCACAATAATGGGGAGAAATACAAGCCAGCAATTACTGCCAAATATTAACCTCTTGCCGACCGCGCATAGCCGAATGACGGCTTCACCGCGGCCGGCTAGTTCTGAGTGGACGTCATATGACGTCCTCCCCAGAACGCGCTCTCCTGCGTGCCCCAGGGGGCGCGCACCCGGCGATCTCCGTGATCGCTGTGTCCTACGGACACAGCTGATCACGAGATGTGGTGAAAGGCCGATCCCACCGGCCTTTTACCACGTGATCAGCGGTGTCCAATGACACGCTGATCACAGGGAAATGCAAGTGCCGGTTCTCGGCTGCACTTTCCTCACGCTGTCAGATCGTGAGGAAAGTACTGCCGAGAACCGGCAGTTGTCAGAGCGGGGATCGGCACCGATCATCAGGGCACTGATGATCAGTGCCCTGATGATCGGTGCCCAGCAGTGACACCCGCAAGTTCCGCCCAGCAGTGCGCCCACTAGCCCCGCCCACCCATGCCCAGCAGTGCCCCCACCTGTGCCCAGCAGTGCCCCCACCTGTGCCCAGCAGTGCCCCCACCTGTGCCACTCTGCAGTGCCACCTACCTGTGCCCAGCAGTGCCACCTACATGTGCCAGCAGTGCCGCCCACCAGTGCCACCCACCTGTGCCCACCAGTGCCACCCACCTGTGCCCACCCACCAGTGCTGCCCACCAGTGCCGCCCACCAGTGCAGCCCAGCAGTGCTGCCAGTCAGTGCCACCAATCAGTGCCCAGGGGTTGTGCCAGTCAGTGCCGCCAGTCAGTGCCCAGAAGTGATGCCAGTCAGTGCCGTCTATCAGTACCCATCATCAGTGTCACCTATCAGTGCCGCCTATCAGTGCTGCATATCCGTGCCGCCTATCCGTGACCCCTAATTAGTGCTGTCTATCAGTGCCGCCTATCCGTGCCACCTCATTAGTACTGCCTATCAGTGCCCTTTAGTGCTGCCTATCAGTGCCCATCAGTGCCGCCTATCAGTGCCCCATCAGTGCTGCCTCATCAACGCAAATCAGTGAAGAAGAAAAAAATACCTGTTTGAAAAATTTTATAAAAGAAACAAATAAACTTTTTTTTTTTTTTCAAACTTTTTGCACTTTTTTTAATTTATAGCGCAAAAAGTAAAGCGCCCAGTGGCGATTAAATACCACCAAAAGAAAGCTCTATTTGTGAGAAAAAAATGATCAAAATTTCATATGGGTACAATGTTGCATGACCGCGCAATTGTCAATCAAAGTGCGGCAGCGCTGAAAGCTGAAAATTGGCCTGGTAAGGAAGGGGGTATAAGTGCCTGGTAGGCAAGTGGTTAATGAATTACATCCAACTGTCTGGAAATGTCGTGTAAGAAATCAGTAACTCAGCAACATGTGACAACAGATATACAAATCCCCCCGTGATCTCTCTACAGCCAGATATTCAACGCTCAACGTGTACCTTGCCATGACTTGATCTGGAATCCCATACACAGGCCAATCCAATCCGCTTACAATCTGAGATGAAGATGTAATGTTACATGAAGTAGTCTACCTTGTCATATATATACTGTATATATCCGGATAAACCATTGACTAGAAGCCAGAATCAGCTTCAGGGATATGTAAAATCAATCTTCCCCAGAGGAGGGAAATGATAATTTATACTGCAGGTAAAATGACGTC